CACTGGAAATTTCCCACCTAGGAACCAGTGGAGCCTGAGGCGACCAACCTACGGTCCCCGCCAGGCGCCCCGTGAGTGGCACGACACGCTACGCACCACTCTTGCTGACCTCGGGTTCCGTACTTCGTCCGCCGACCCGTCGCTGTTCGTTCGTTCGGGGCCGACACCTTTCTTCGTACTCGTCTACGTCGACGACTTGGTCTTCGGTACAGCAGACAGGGTCGCTCAGGCTAAGGTGAATTCCGAACTGCAGAAGAGACACACGTGTACTGACCTTGGTGAGCTGCGCCGCTACCTTGGCTTGCAGATCACCAGGAACAGAGCCGCCCGCACCATCACACAGACTCAGTCACACATGGTGCAGCAGGTCTTTCAGCGGTTCGGGTTTCAGTTCTCTACCACACAGCCCACTCCGCTTGCCGTTGACAACAGGCTCACCACTCTTGTTCCTGACGAGCCCTTTGAGTCTAGTGGTCCATATAGAGAGCTTGTGGGCTGCCTCATGTACCTGATGACCTGTACTTGTCCAGACCTCGCTTTTCCTCTCAGCATCCTAGCTCGCTTTGTTATGACTGGGGGGCACCGTCCTGTTCACTGGACGGAAGCTGTGAGGGTAGAAAAGCACCTGTCGACTACATCAGGCATGGGGCTTGTGCTTGGAGGGACACATCCAGTTGTGCTGGCCGGTCACTACGACTCTTCCTACGCCGATGTTGTCGAGATTCGGAGATATACTCAGGGGTATTGCTTCAGCTTGGCTGCTGGTGCCGTGTCGTGGAGGTCTACTCAGTAGCTCTCTCCTCGCACCCTCCGCTGCATCTTCCTTGGCTTTCCCACCGACGCCCCGCCCTGGCAGTTTTACCACCCTGCCACGCGCCGCGTCCTGTCCTCCCTAGACGTCACCTTTGACGTGTCGGTTTGCTTCTACCGTCTCCACCCCCACAGCACTTCCCCCGTTCCCCCTCCCCCTCCCCCCCCCCCCCCCCCCCGCCTCTCTTCCTGATTCCAGCCCCCCCCCGGTAGACCCTCTCCCCCCACAGGTTCCTGCTCCCTCAGGTGTGTCTCAGGTCGACCGACCCCCCTTGGCTGAGCCTTTGGAGGTCTCCTCTGATAGCTCTGGCCCAACTGAGGGGGGTGACGCTGCTGCTGACGACACATCGGCCCCTCGCCGCTCCCCACGCTTGGAGACCCCTCTTGGTTTTTCGCCTCGGCCGTCTTCGCCGCCTCTGCAGCCTATCGCTGTAGACTTCGGTGCTGCTGGGGGTGGTGACACTGGAGTTGCGGACTCTGGGGGTGCTGGTCCTTGGGGTGCTGGAGGTGCTGGTTCCGGGGGTGCTGAGTCTGGGGGTGCTAAGTCTGGGGGTGCTGCTTCTAGGGGTGCTGCTTCTGGGGGTGCTGCGCGTCCTAGTGGTGGTGGATTCGTGGGTGCTCCTGCTGGAGGTTCTGGCGTTGGACAGCAGCAGCAGTCTCGTCGACAGGAGACTCTCTCGCCGCAGCAGCTTTGCAAGTGGGTTATTCGGCGAGGCCGCTCTGGTCGCGGAGCTGGAGCTGCTGGTGCTGAGGGCGCTGGTGCTAGAGGTGCTGGAGCTGTAGGTAGTAGAGGTGCTGGAGCTGGAGGTGCAGGAGGCGATGGAGCTGGAGGTACTGGTGCTGGAGGTACTGGAACAGGAGGTGCTGGAGGTACTGGAGCTGCTGGTGCTTAAGGTACTGGAGCTGGAGGTACTGGCGGTACTAGAGCTGGAGGTGCTGGAGGTGATGGTGCTGCTGGTGCTGGAGGTGCTGGAGCTGGAGGTGCTGGAGGTACTGGCGGTACTAGAGCTGGAGGTGCTGGAGGTGCTGGTGCTAGAGGTACTGGAGCTGGAGGCTCTGGTACTGTGGGCACTGCGCTGCGGCGACCGTTTTTCTTGCCGCAGCCGCAGTCGGCACTGCCACCACCTGACTCGGCGCTTCGCCAGGTTCTTAGTCTTCCGTCTTCCACTGGCCTTACTCCACCTCTAGTGTGTCCTCCGCCTGACCAGTCACAGCCGCCGTTACAGCCTCACTCCCCTCTGCCTGCTCCTTCTCCTTACCCTGAGCAGACAGACTCCCTCACAGTGCGTCATGAGCCCGCGTCTCGTCCTGCCTCGCCTGTTTGCACTGTTCGTCATGCTCGTCGTGTTCGTCCTCCACCAGTCCCCGACACGCACACTATGGCACTTCGTCCTTCCTCTGTTCCACAACGTGTTGCCATGCCATCTCCGCCGGCGTCCTCTCTTCCTGACGTTCGTGACTCTGAGTCTGACCTTGCTCGTGCTGCTAGTCCCACTGTCACGCATGTCCTGGCCACACTTGTCACTGACCCTTCCTTTGAGTCTACTGCTGCGTCTGTCTTAGTCACTGAGCTCGTTGACTGGACCAACTGGCCTGTTTGTCCAATAGACCGGTTGGACCAACTGGACTGTTGGTCCTATGGACCGGTTGGACGAACTGGCCTGTTGGTCCTATGGACAGTCGGACCAACTGGCCTGTTGGTCCAGTGGACCAGTTGGACCAACTCGCCTATTGGTCCAATGGACCGGTTGGCCAACTCGCTTGCTGGTCCAATGGACAGGTTGGACCAACTCGTCTATTGGTCCTATGGACCGCTTGGACCAACTGGCATGTTGGTCCTATGGACCGGTTGGACCAACTGGCCTGTTCATCCAGTAGACCAGTTGGACCAACTGGCCTGTAGGTGCAGTGGACCGGTTGGACCACCTAACCTGTTGGTCCAATGGACCGGTTGGACCAACTGGCCTGTTTGTCGAATGGACCGGATGTACAAGCTCGCCTGTTGGTCCTATGGACCAGTTATACCAACTGGCCTGTTGGTCCAATGGACCAGTTGGACCAACCGGCCTGTTGGTCCAGTGGACCGGTTGGACCAACTAGCCTGTTGGTCCAATGGACCAGTTGGACCAACTCGCCTGTTGGTCCTATAGACCGGTTGGACCAACCGGCATCTTGGTCCACTGGAACGGTTGGACCAACTGGCCTTTTGGTTCAGTGGACCGATTGGACCAACTAGCCTGTTGGTCCTATGGACCGGACCAACTGGCCTGTTCGTCCAGTAGATCAGTTGGACCAAGTGGCCTGTTGGTCCTATGGACCGGTTGGACCAACTGGCCTGTTGGTCCTATGGACCAGTCAGACCAACTGGCCTGTTGATCAAGTGGACCGGTTGGACCAAATCGCCTATTGGTCCAATGGACCTTTTGGACCAACTCGCCTGTTGGAGAGGGAGTGGGGAAAAAGGGGGGGGGAGACGTGGAGTGGGAGGGGGAGGGGGGAGGACAGGGTCGAGGATGTCACCGGAGGAACCTGAGACAGAGGGAGCTGGAGGAATGGGGGGGGGGGACCAAGGGGGGGGAAACTGGGGGAGGGGGGAGGAGAGGGGGGGCAGCTGTGTCAGTCCAAAGAAGGGGGCGGGGAGGGAGGATGAGAGGATCAGTGGGATGGGGGGAGGAGTAATAGGGTGAGGATTCGTCAAACACTACATCATGGCTACGGATAAGGCGGCCTGAGGGGGGGTGAAGAAATTGGTAATCTGGAGAAGAAGGATTGTGACCAAGGAAGACGCAGGGGAGGGTCCTAGCAGCAAGCTTGCCGGCTGCGCGGGAGCGATCAGCAGGGTATATAAGGACGTGGGCTTTGGAGCCCCAAATGCGAAGGGGTGAGATATCGGGCTTGGTGGAGGTCCATAGTTCGGTGGGAGTGGTGGAGGGGCGGTTGGGATGGGGATAAAGGTTGGTGAGAAGGGTAGCATGAAGTAGGGCATATCCCCATAGGGAGGGCGGGCATGAGGCATGAACCAAGAGACACCGGGCAGTTTTGGTGATCTCTCGGTCCGACTCTCAGCAACACCATTTTGCTGAGGGGAGTGGGGTAGAGTGTAGGTGTGGCGAATGCCATGGGTCGTGCAGTAGGAGGAAAGGGTGTGATTGAGGAACTCACCACCGCCGTCAGAATGGAGACGACGAATGGGTCGTCCAAAGTGGGTTGCAGCCTGAGTTGCCCATGCAATAATAGCAGCGGGGGCCTCGGCTTTGGTGCGGAGGAGAGAGACCGAGGAGTACCTGCAGTGGTCATCCACAAGGATGAGCAGGTATCGATGACCCTGGCGGGAGGGTGTGGGGTTGGGACCCCAGAGGTCCATGTGGACTAGGTCGAGTGGTGCAGGGGAAAAGGTGGGATGACTGGGGTGAGGGTGTTGTTTAAGTTTCATCTGGACACAGACCGTGCAGGGTGGGGCAAGGGAGGGAGGAAGTGGGGGGAGAGTGGGTGGGAGACCATGAAGGAGAGAGGAAATGACGGCTTTGTCAAGGGTGACAAAGTTGGGATGACCAAGACGATGATGGAGAAGAATGGATGGGTGGGAGAGGTCACGACACAGACAGGAGGGAGAGGGGGATGGTGGAAGAGGTGGAGGAGGAATAGTGATGGAGAATACCTGAGGGGAGGGAGAGCGAGGAGTGCGGAAGGTGTACATACGAGTGGATGGACACATGGAGATACGAGAGAGGAAACGACCGGAGGTGGAGTGAAAAATATCACAGTGGGAGGCGTGAGCAGGAAAGATAGTGGTGACACCAGTTTGTTGAAGTGCACCTTGGGAGACTAGGTTGTGACGGAGAGAGGGAATGTGAAGACCAGTGACGGTGCCTGATGGAAAAAGTGGACAAGGGAGTGTGGATGAGTGATGGCTTTGGACAGTAAAGGTGGAGTCAGCACTAAGGATGGTAGAGGGAGTGGGGAGAGGTGTGAGTTTGCCAGCGTCGCGAAGGACAGTGTGAGAGGTTCCACTGTCAAGGATAAATTCAATGGGAGGTAAGGAGGTGGAGTACTGGAAAGACGTTGTATTAATAGCATCAGCATACATGGAGGGATCACTAGGCATAGGGGATTGCATGCTCTGTCCTACGAAGGCGGAGGACGGGAATGGGGTAAAGCCCGGGGGGAGGGAGGGGGGGGGGGGGGGATGTTCAGTGTCTGGAGGCGGGGCAGTTGGGGGTACAGACGGGGGGGGAACCTGAGGGGGGTAAAACGGGTAGGGGGGGTATGGGGAAGGAGACCAGGGGGGCGGGGGGAAACCTGGAGGTGCAGGGGGAGGGGGGTAAAAGCCGGAGGGGGGGGGTGAGGGAGTCGGGGAATACAGCAGGTGATGAGCCTGGGGGGGAGCACGGGGAGGGGTAGAGGGGAAGAGTACCTGAGGGTTGGAGGAGGAAGGGGGGTGGTAGGTGGGGGAGGTGCGGATGTCATGAGGGGTGGGGAGGGGGTGCAGGAGGTGCCAACGTGGGGGAGTACCAGTGTTACCACGTTCAAACCATTCGTCACTTAGAGCCTTGAAGCAGGTGGCTGTGGCGTGGGTCGTCTGGAGACAACGTTGTCCTCGAAGAGAGCCGTAACGAATGAGGTACTGGCACGGAGGGAGGGTACCGGTTCCAGCAGGGCCACTGCGTCCACCACCACGGCCACCTCCTCCAGGGGGGCGAGAGCCAAAGTGTCCACCACTGCGTCCCGAAAAGCTGCTTCGTCCGGTACCGCGCCCTCCCCCATAGCCACCGCTGAAGCCACCACGACCGCCCCCTCCTCCACGAGCAAGCGCAATAGTAGAGAGAGAGGTGTGGAGGAGATCTGCTTCCGCGTCGAGTAGCCAAGTGATGATGTCAGAGGAGGAGGGAGTGCCGGGTCGGGTGGTGATGAAGGCAATCTTGTAGGTGGTGTAGGCGGGAGGAAGTCCATCGAGGATGCGAGCCATGAGGAGGGAATCAGTGATGGTGATGCCGCGATCAGTGAGGCGGCGAGCAGTGTCAGTAAGGCGACGAGTAAAGGTGGCAGCATTGGTAGAGGAGTCAAGGGAGAGAGCTTGGAATTCGTGGTAGAGGGAGAGAAGGAAGTAAAGGTGGCGCCTCCGTCAGGAACAGCAGCGGCTCATCCGCAGCAACGTGGTGGGAATGATGAGCCGCAGCGCCACCCCCCGCAGCAACAAACTCCACCCCCGCAACAGGCGGAACCGGTGGCAAATGCAGATGAGAGCCGGGAGCAGGCGCCGAGACGGAAGGAGAAGGAGCCGATGGGGCGAGGACAGGAGGAGGAAATGCAGCAGCTGGCGGAGGGTCCACGGGAGGCACAGTTTGACGAGGAGCCACGTGCGCTGGCGCGGCCCGCAGCGAACTGCTCTGACTCTGCGCCGCCCTCTCCTCGCGCACGGCCCGCGACACCTCCCGCTGAAGATCCGCCATTGTCACAGGCGGACGGTATCTCCCGCCACCACCACGCCCGTGGGGGCCCCTCCAGCCCCCGCTGCCACCGGGGTGAGCAGGCCACTGGGCCTGCTGCTGGTAGCGCCGGGGAGAGTTGCGCCGCCGCCGCGACGTCTCGCGCTCCTGTTGAGGCACGGGAGAATGGGGGCGTGATAGACGGCGGTCCGGCGACGGGGGACGAGACGGCTGCGCTACAGGGGCCGCCGGCAGCAGTGCGGGAGCCGTTGGGTCCGCGCCCGGAGGCGCAACCATCGGAGCCGGGCCGACAGTGGTGGCGGACGCCGCCTTCGGGGAAGAAGCAGACTCCGGCGCAGGCACGTCGGGGACAGAAGCAGCCGGTGCAACGAATGCGCCAGGGGCAGGAACAGGGGGATCAACAGCTTCCCCAGCAGGCGCAGACGCCGTCGGCGCAACCACGGGAGCAAGGGGAACGGGAGCAGCAGACGGAGCGGGCGGAGCAACAACAGGAGCAGACGGGCCAGCCTCGCCCACGCCAAGGGGAGCCGCGGGTACGGGGGGAAGAGTCTTTTCAGCGTCTGTTGTCGCGGGTTTCGGAGCCGGCGGTACAGGAGGCTTTGAGGCCGTGGTCGCCTTTTCGGGCCCCGACTGAGGCCTGGCGACGACAGCCGACCAGGCGGCAGCGCGCTCTGGCGATGGCACGTCAACACCAGCAATCACCATCTCAAGCGCGGGGACGTCGCGGGACGGAACAGCTAACAGCAAGCGGGGCCGGCGGAGGTCCAGAGAACGGATACCAGGCAGCGGCAAGGGCGGCTTTAACCAACTTAGACACAGCTAATGAGGATGACGAGCGGCAGGATCCCTCTTATAGGGAAGAAGCAACACCTGATAGCGAGAGCGAAGAGAGAGAGGATGAGGAAGGCGGGGCGAGGGAGAGCTCTGGGAGAAGGGAAGCAGTGGAGGAGCAAGCACGCGTGCAAACGCCCCAGGAGGCAGGCACACCGCCCGATGCCGATCGGACGGAGGAGTTTCCAACCTTTGTCTCCCAGGCGCGAGCGGGTCGTGCTAGACCAAATCGGACCGCGAACGCGGGTGTTGCGACACGCCCAGCCGCTCCGATTCCCCGCTATTTTTCGCCTGACGAACTGGCGAAGCGAACAGACCTGTTCGCTGCCATCGGAACTTGGGACATCGCAGCTCTGTGCGACAGTCGTCAGCCGTCGCTGTCGCGGCGCCTACCTCCAAATCTGTGTCAGCTGTTCTTGCTGGCGTTACTGACGCCGTTACTACACCTCTCTCGAAACCCCGAGTTAGAGACAGGATGGCGCCTGCTGTTATTTCTCCCGCGCCTAACCCTTCGCCAAACCTCGCCACAACGACCGGATTGGCCGAAAATCAAAGCTCGGCTCCGAGCCTTCCAGCGTGGCGAATGGGAGCAACTGTACCTGGACACGGTAGACGCAGTCAACATGCCACCTCCGCCACGACACAGGCCCGATGCGACAGGTATGATCAGCCGAGCCGAGGGTCTGGCGAAACGTGGCAGTCTACGACGAGCCGTCATCGCCCTAGAGTCAACCCCCGTCTGCACTCCCAGCCCCGAAATCTTGGAGGAGCTGCGTCAAAAGCACCCACCTGCTGCACACGAGGAGGTGATCTGGCCGACACCGCGTGGGTCAACACTTTCAATCGCCCATGCGGATTTCGCTAGAATGTTGGGCAGATGCGAAAATGGAGTTGGAGCCGGGCCGTCGGGGATGACATTCGAGCATTTGCGCGACGCGGCGATCACAAATGCATTGGTCAGCACCCATCTGCACGCCTTGGTTAACACCATCCTGGGAGGAAATTTGCCAGGCTCGGTGGCAAACCTCCTGACCGCATCGCGCCTCATTGCTTTGGCCAAGCCGGGGGTGGTGCTCGGCCAATCGCGATCGGCGAGTGCTTGACGAGGCTGGCAGCCAAGGCGGCCCTGACAGCGATGGGTGAAGCTGCCCGCGAATTCTTCCTCCCACTACAGTACGGCGTGGCAGTGCCAGGTGGCGCCGAGACTGTAATCCATGCGGCCAGAGCTTTCCTGGATGGCGAAGCCGCTGACACTCATCGAACGGACGGACCCCCAGGTTGCGGCACTGCTCATCACGCGCTGCATTTCGAGGCGTGTCGCATACCTTACAAGGACGACGCCCCTAAACCTCCTCCCCCGCGACAGATGGAGCCAGTGGAGTATGGACCTGCTCACCACGCTCCTTACCTCCTGCGACATCCGCATGCCGACCTGCAGAGAAGAGCAAACACGGGTTTGGGAGCAGGCGTCGTTACCTCCGTCGTTGGGAGGTCTCGGTATCACGAACCCCCTCATCGAGGGGATTTACGGCTTCGCGGCGAGCTTTACCCAGGCGGCGCTCTTTCTCAACAACCTCTCGCTGGGAGAAGAGAATGCGCTTACACTGGCACGGAATCACATGCTCCTGCCACGGGATGTCAAACATTATACATGTTTATATTGTGTAGGCTATAGTGGGTTTAGCCTTAGGGGGTACAACATTGCTAGGGTTTCCTACTTGTATCACCCTGCTGCCTAGTTCATTCATTCTCGTTCAGTTCTACATTCTAACATGGTATCCGATGCCTAGGTCAGGACCTAGGACCGACGTTGGTTAGGGCCCACCGTTCCGCCGCGCCCTTGCGCGACCGTGTCTGATAGTACCTCGCGCCGTCGTGCGCCCCTACCCGCGCCGTCGAGCGCCCTTACTAGCGCCGTCGAGCGCCCCCCCTTCTAGCGCCGTCGTGCGCCCTGTTGCTAGTTGCGCGCTGCCCACTAGCCTCGCACGCAGCCCCTCGCGGCCCCGTGCAGCCCCGTGCGCCCTCGAGCGCCTGCCTACCCGCGCCGTCGAGCGCCTGCCTACTCGCGCCCTTGAGCGCCTGCCTACCCGCGCCCTCGAGCGCCACCCTGCCGCCCTGCCCTGCAGGCCGCGCGCGGGCCTGCTCTGCACCCGCGCAGCCGCCCCTGGACCCCGAGGCGCGGCCCCTGGACCCCGCGACGCGTCGCCCTGCTCGTCGCGACGCCCCTACGGGACCCGCGCGTCGCCCCTGCCTCGTCGCGACGCCTCTGCGGGACCCGCGCGTCGCCCCTGCCTCGTCGCGACGACCCTGCGGGACCCGCGCGTCGCCCCCGCCTCGTCGCGGCGCTTCTGCGGGACCCGCGCGCGTTGCCCCTGCCTCGTCGCGACGCCCCCGCGCGACCCGCGCGTCGCCACTGGGACCCGCGCGGCGTCGCCCCTGCTCGCCGCGGCGCCCTGCCCTACCCCGCGCCCGCCCTTGGGACGGCCGCCCCTGGCCCCTGGAGCAGCCGCCACTGCAGCAGCCGCCCCTGGCCCCTGGAGCAGCCGCACCTACAGCCGCCTCTGGACCCTGGAGCAGCCGCCCCTGCAGCAGCCGCCCCTGGCCACCTGGAGCAGCCGCCACTGCAGGAGCCGCCCCTGGCCCCTGGAGCAGCCGCCCCTGGCCCCTGGAGCAGCTGCCGTCGCGGCCCGGCCCCGCCCTGCAGCAGTTGTCGCGGAGTTCCCTGCCGCGGCCCGGCCCCGCCCTGCAGCTGTAGCGGCCCCGCTGTCGCCACCGTCTTGCGCCTGCCCTTCCCACCACTGGTGAGCACTGCCCTGCCCGCGCTGCTACCGCTGCTACTGCTGCTACTGCTTTTACTGCTCCCACTGCTACTGCTCCTGCTGCTTCTACTGTTACTGCCGCTACTGCTGCTCCTGGCGTGGCCAGATGCAGCTCCAGGGCCGTGCGCGTGAGTCCCTCACGCCCCAGCAGCTTCGTGAGTGGTACGCTAGTTGGGGCTGTCGGGGTGCCCGTAGTGGGAGTTGCTCTGGAGTGGGTAGTTCGGGAGCTTCTGGTAGTGGACAGGTGCAGCTGCAGCGTTGTCCCCGCGAGGCTCTTTCGCCCCAGCAGCTTCGTGAGTGGTACGCTAGTTGGGGCTGTCGGGGTGGCCGTAGTGGGAGTCGCTCTGGAGTGGGTCGTTCGGGAGCTTCTGGTAGTGGCCAGGTGCAGCTGCAGCGTCGTCCCCGCGAGGCTCTTTCGCCCCAGTAGCTTCGTGAGTGGTACGCTCAGAGTAGAGGGTCAATGAGTCCTGCTCGCTGCCCGTACGTCATTCGCACAGGTGTCCGGACCGGTCAGCCTTGCGGGACACCTAGTCACACAGAGTCCCGCTGCTTCGCCCGTCTGAGCGACGCTTGGCGTACAGAGTTTGGCGACGACGCTGAGCTCCCCTCCTGGCTGGAGCTGCTTAGGCAGAGGGTAGATATCTTTGCTCTTGACTATGATGCTCTCCTCACTGCCATGTATGCATTGTCTACTAGTGCTGAGGGTGTCTGTCACCTGAGTGTGCCGCCTGACCCCGGTATCCAGTCTGCTGCTCTAGGTACTGGTGAGGCTGCCGCACTAGGTGCTCGTGTGTCTGTTGCCTCAGGTGCTGGTGAGGCTGCCGCTCTAGGTGCTAGTGTGTCCGTTGCCCCAGGTGCTGGTGAGGCTGCTGCTCTAGGTACTCGTGAGTCTGCGCCCTCTGGTACTGCGTCTACTGAGGCACTGCACACCTTCACACTGGACTCAGGTGCTTCCCGCTGTTTCTTTCGTGACCGCACTGCCCTTGAGCAGCTTGCTCGGCCGGTTGCAGTCTCCCTCGCTGACCCCTCTGGGGGTCCGGTCATTGCGACCTCCTCCACTGTCCTCCCTTGTCCTGCGGTCCCGTCGGGCACACTGTCAGGTCTCCACCTCCCCTCGTTCTCTACGAACTTGGTGGCGGGTCGTGCGCTCCAGGACGGGGGTGTCCACCAGTTCACCCCTGCCTACGAGCGCGTGACACACTGCACGTGTGCTCGGACGGGTCGCCACCTGGCTACCTTCACTCGGCAGCCGGGGTCGGACCTGTACACACTGACCACTGAGTCCCCTCAGGTAGCTGCGTCCGCATCTTCGTCAGGTCAGCTGTCGGCCCCCTGCTCGTGTCGCTCCCTGGCGCACGAGACCGTCCTCTGGTACCACCGCCTTGGTCACCCGTCAGTGCAGCGCCTTCGTGGCATGCACTCCCGGTACCTTGTCTCTGGTCTTCCCAGGGTTCTCCCTCCCCTCCCACCCTCGCCTGCTCCTCCCTGTCTTCCCTGTGTCGAGGGGCGGCAGCGCGCCGCTCCTCACTCCTCCTCGTTTCCCCCGACGACTGCTCCCTTGCAGACGCTCCACATGGACGTGTGGGGCCCAGCCCGCGTCCGTGGACAGGGTCACGAGAGGTACTTCTTGATAGTTGTTGACGACTACTCGCGCTACACCACGGTCTTCCCCTTGCGCACCAAGGGTGAAGTCCCTGATGTTTTGATCCCTTGGATCCGCGCTGCCCGTCTCCAGCTCAGCGAGAGGTTCCACTCGGACTTTCCTGTCCTGCATCTGCACTCTGACAGAGGTGGGGAGTTTTCCTCCGACCTCTTGAGGGCCTTCTGTCAGGGGGAGGGCATTGAGCAGTCGTTCACGCTTCCGGCCTCTCCACAGCAGAATGGGGTTGCTGAGCGCCGCATTGGCTTGGTCATGGAGGTCGCTCGTACCTCCTTGATCCATGCGGCTGCCCCCCACTTTCTGTGGCCGTTTGCGGTCCGATACGCTGCGCATCAGCTCAACCTCTGGCCCCGTGTCTCCATTCCGGAGACTTCGCCGACACTGCGTTGGACGGGAAAGGTTGGCGATGCGTCGGTGTTCCGGGTCTGGGGATCTCGTGCTTTTGTCCGCGATACGTCCGCGGACAAGCTCTCCTCCCGCGCTGTTCCTTGTGTCTTCCTTGGCTTTGT